TGTCATTCTAGCATATTGCAAGATTGCAACTCCAACAATGCATCTAGTTTTGTTCAATTCCTCGTCTGGCACTCTTGTTGTTGAGCTCCAAGGCTCCCAGCAGAAAAGAGATGTGGATCTACAGCACCAATATGGATGTCCAACCGATGCAGCGATGACCAAGGCCTATGCCAGAGCAGATGCCGATGATATGCAAACAGGCTGCCAGGATCCACAGACATTCTTTCAGTCGCTGTGTATGCCAAAAGTAGGCGAAAAGATCCAGTCAACTGTGTGCTGGCTCTTGCCAACTTTACCCCTCAATTGCAAACAGTAGGTCCACACCATGTATGCAACGCTGATTTCGTTGCATCCTATTGGCACAAGATTAGGAGCATGGAGCCCAGTGGTTGCACTGCTCATCTCGTACATTACTCTTCGTTCAGGAGTCCTCAAGTGAGAATGCACCTGCCCAAGAGCCCCAATATGAAGGTTCAGAATCTAAAGTAGAGCACTCAATCTGAGTAAAGTCTGCACATTGTCACCAAAGATTCCAACCAATCAACACAGCAGTGTGCAAAACAGCCCTTTTCGCTGCTGATAGGGGCGTGGTGCACCATAGGAAATGATGCCTGGCATCAAAACAGTGACCCTTGGGAGCAAATTGCCCTTCCTTCAGGTGTCTAAAAGTAACAATATGAAGGTGTCGGGGACAGCTGCAAAACCCAAGTAACAGTTGTAAAGCAGGACTAATTGTGCCCCATTTGGAAGAACTCACATCACAGACATGTTGCAAGACTCTTCATCGCATCTCACCACTGTTCCCAAATAAAACTGCAGGGTTAACACTGCAACACTGCAACGTTGCAGTGTACAGGCGATTGTGCCCTTCGAACCCATCTGACAAACTGTTGTCAGATTGTAGTTTCGCTGTGACATCCCTTTGCGAGCACCCGTTGTGGCATGCAGGATCGTGCTCAGGGCTTATCTCCAATGCTTCTGCATGTATCCCCCTTTCCATGGCGACATTCGATTGCGCATATTGCGCCCCACCTGTCACAGCCATCGTGAAAGGCACCTGCAAGAAATGAAGACACTCAGGACTTTCTTCCAACAAAGGTGCTACTACTAACACCTGAATGGTGGCAGTCTTGCTCTGTAACTTTGTGCCATTCCACACCAATTCCAGCAAGTTGGAAAACACATTGAGCTGGGTGGGGTTTGAGGGACAAATAACACAGCTAAGCCCAAATCGAGTTGGTGCAATCAAGCAGGCCACAATTGGCATCCTGCAAACTGTTGATGTGGATCATGGTACAGTAGAGGTCCCTATATAGCGGCCCCCAATAGCGCCCCCTTTTTGGCTTGTCACCACTTCTGTAGCCAGTATGGGCCCGGTAGCCCGGGTGTAGCGTACCCCCTACACGGGCGGCCAGGGTACCCCTTACACCGGCGGCCATGGCACCCCCTACACCTACGGCCATGTACCCCCTACACCGGCAGCGTGGGTTACTCCCTAAACCGACGACCAGGGTACCCTTTACACCTTAACACAATAGCGCCCCCGGCCCCCAACAGGGCTTCCCCTTTGGCCATGCCACGGCGGGGAGCCATATAGGGACTCCTACTGTAATGTGCAATTTGGGTGGAGGCTGGGACGGAAGTGTGGCTGGGAGGCGTGGAAGGTATAGCGGTGGAGGATGGGACATTTCAACACTGTCGCATAGCTGCTTGGGCACCTGTCCATGCCTCACGACAAGCCGTCCTCGATTCCCCGTGCAGTTCAATGAGCGGCAGTCGACAGGACGGAACGTTTGCGATGCTGCATTACTAAGACCAGTTCCCCTCCCACATGACGATTATTTGATGCATTGACCGCCTACTCGCTGCGAACTTCTGCAGTCGCACATCGCACAGCGCCATGCCCCGAGAGGCTGACGGATCTCCGACTCCAGTGCAAGCGTGACACTTCCGACGGCACCAAAGGCGCTGTGCCTATGTGTGGTCTGTCGGTCCGAGTTCGGCATTTAGGGGGGGTGGGATCCCAAAACAATCCACCCTGGAATGCATCCCCTAACCACGGCCCAGGGCATGAAATTGCAGGGCAACCCGGGAAAGCCCGGCAATAGGTTTCCGCATCCAGGCGCGCGAGGGCGCAAGGGCCACCCTCAAAGACGAAACTGCAACGGCGCGGTTTCAGGATTGGAGCCTCGCCGCCAGCGGCTTGGCAGTTGGCACAGCCCACCCGTGCACCCCGTCGGGTGATGGACGATTGCCCCCCGCATTGCGCCATCTGGGAGATTGGCGCCGTGACTAGGCTCGCTTCCCACGAGGGACGTGATGCGAACGGCGCAACTCGCAGCGAGGGAATGGCGTGCTCACCGCCGGTGGCCGGCTGGCGCAATGGCGAACAGGCAGGCTTGGTCACTCTATTGGACAGCCTCTAAATCGCTCCCATCCGCCGGAGACAGTGCACGGCGGGAGTGGGGCCAGAGGGAGAAACTCCGCGGGGCCTGAGGTTCCATGGCAGTAGCCGGCAGCCCGGGTGCGGAGCAAAAAGGCTCCCCCTTACTGGCAGAGGACGACAAACGCAGCCCTCTGTCATGTTGTGCCGCGTTGGTAAGCCGGAAGAGGAGGGGAAAGGCACCGATCACGAACAAAGTCGTTATTGGGTGTTATCAAAGTCCTGCAGGCAACGACAGCGGCACGGTCCCAGTGTTTTGTCCGTGGCAAGGGGGTCCAATTGTGTGTCGGTGCCTTCAGGGCTTGTTCGGGTCACCGCATGATGCCCAGCATTTTTGCCACCTGAGCATTGTGGGACTCAAGCCGCTTAAATGCCCACTATTGCTGGTTGGCAACTCGCCAGCTTGGTTCCATTTTGCCCACTGGGCAGTTCAATAGGAACGCATAAACGAAAAACGCAAAAAACGCAAAAAACGATAGCATTCATGTTCACGCCGCATGATTCAGCTTTACATGCCATGAAAGCGAGTACTGTCGTTGCTGTTGGCCGTGGCCGCCCCCCAAACAAAGGAGCAACTTCCTTGCCACTTAGATTAGTAAGCTACCGCGTCGAAGTGCTGCCGTACATCTCCCTCGGGAAAGAACCTCACTTCGCCATTGCCGACACCCTGTGCCAGGCGGGCGACTGTGCGTCACCGCGCCACGCCGTTTGCGGCAGGGCTGCTAAGCCACTCGCGGGTGGCAGGCCCGCCCGGCCGCCATGCGCCCTCTCCTCTGCCCCAAGCCTTTCTAGCTCTCGATTCCCCACCCGCATCTCCAACGGCTGTCGCGCGCGCGCCTTTTGCAATATCGGCGAGAAGGGCCTGCTCACGACCTCCGGGGACGCCGGCATCTACTGCAGCCAGGGGCGCTACGAGTGCGGCCACGACAACGTGGAGCAGTACTTCAACTATATGGGGATGCCGACCCTGGAGGTGTATGACAAGCTGCAGGAGGTGATGAACACCGGGCTGCATCCAGTATGTCTGCTGGACATACTGCTGCTGTGGGCGGCGCAGGAGAATGACCATCCCACTGTGGCGGAGCTGCTGGCGGCGGGCGTGCATAAGGGCGTGGAAGACAGGGAGAGGTGGATGCGCGCCGAACTGACGACCAGCGAGGAGGTGGCGTGATTGCTGAAGAGTGCCCCGGGTGCGTCAAGCAGTCCAATTGATTGCGATCATGCATGATCGCATACGTTGTGGCAGATCGCTGGCCTTGAGGCTTCAGGGAGACGGCGGGTGTTTGGACCGCACGAGAGGGGCTGGCTGGCCGGGGGATGGCCAAGGGGGTATTGGTGAGCTGCAGCACACACAGGAATATACGTGCATTGAAAGGATGTGGTGGTAGGACTGGGCAAAGATAGGAGATCGGGAGGTCAGGTGCAAGCCAGGCGTGTCTCAATTAGGACGTTAATTCCCAGTGCAAATATGCTAGCAGGGCTGCTGCAGTGATTTGAATTCCATTATCACAGGGAAATGGACGCAATTCTGAATTCTGTTTCCCATTCATTCTCTCATCACAAGTTCCCTTATTGGCAGGCGCAGTGCAGGAAACAGGCAGGCATGTTTTGCCTCTGGGATTTGTACAGGTGTTGTAGAACTGTGAGGCAAGTTTGCAGCTGGAGCAAGACCATGCAGCAGACTTGTTGCTTACATTTGTGTCAAGTAATAGGTGTTCAAGAAATAATGTACAGGCACCTTGAAGGCTATAAAGGGTAAGTTTGTATCCACAGGGTACTGTTGCAAACTATTCTCATCGCAACCAGCCGGTGTGAATTCCTCAGCGAGGCCTCCAAGACAAGTAGAACACGAACCACGACAATTTTGGACAAGTGCACCTCTGCTCAACAGTGGATTCCTCATGGCTGCAGCTCTCACATGCATTTCACACTGGTGCCGCACACGCAAAACACCCACTTGGGGCCTTCAAAAAGCGCCAATCTTTTGTTCAACTTCTTAGCCGGAGCCTCGCCCCTCCCCTAGAAGTGTCAAGCGATTGTGGCCCTGTTGCATCAAGGTACAGGATGTTGTGCACCTTCATTCGCCTGCCTTATCATAACACGGTCGCCATGGCCAATTTAAATGTGAGAAGAGGTTGTTTCCCCGCCTTGCACTCTGCGCCGTAAGGAAGGACGTGCTCAGAGATGTGCGACTCTCCAACTGAACATGGTGACAGCCTCGAGGCGCGTCCTACTCGTGACGAGGTAAATTCGGGAACACGCGCAGTACAAGGGTCAAGCAAACATGCAAGCTCCTGCGCCGCTGAAGTTGCCAGTGTTCTCCACCCAACCTTCCAGCTTGCCAACGCCCCAATGCCATTCGTGCCGGTGGAGGCCCCCACCCCCACCATCCACCATCGTCCCCCCCCCCCTCAGATTTTCGCGCCAAAAAAATGGTCTCACCAAACAGACCCGGCAAAAACTCCAAAAACTGTGATAGGTCGCCAAGAAACAGGAGAATCTCCAGTCACAGGCGCAGGACCCGTGCGGACGACCCCAGCGGCGGCCGGGGCCAGGCATGAGGGGCGTGGCGCTGCAGTCCGGCGCCGAGGCCGGCTCGCTGTCCAAGCGGCCGCGCCTGGCTCAGCCTGGACCGCTCCGCCGCGCGCATCAGGTGCGACCTCCGGCGACCCGCCGATTGACATGGCGGCAGGCGGTGATCGATGCCCGGCCCCCGCACCACTAAAAAGCGGCAAACAAAATTGGCCAACAGCTCCCGCGGGTGTGTCAGTTTGCGGCGAGTCCCTGGCGATCCCGCGGCGGACGTTGTGACGCGATCGGCTGCCTCGCGCGCCAGGTGCGGTGCGTCGCGCTGCCAACGCCCGTCGGCCACCGGCACGGCGGGGCGAATGGGGCGGCCCCGGCGGGGAAGCCTGTGCTGGAGGTGCCCGGCTGGGAGAGCGCCCCGCGCGTGGAGGCGGAGCCCGCGCTGAGAGCTGGTCCTGTGGAGCTGCCGAGGCTGAAGGTGTTCTCAGGGACGGCGAACCAGGTGGGCGGCCTGGCCCCTGCACGAGAACGGCATCCGATTGTCGAGCCGGGCCGATCGCCACGCGGGCCGTGGACTGATGGCAGATCGCGAGCGTCAGAGCCTGGGATTGTTGCAAGGCCGCTTGATTGAAGCCGTTTGAGTCTGTTTGATTTAGTTCGGTCGCATTCTCGTCGCCACTGCGGCGGATTTCGGGCAAGGGGAGGGGAGACCCGCGAGAAACTTTCCGCGGGTTCGTGCCGGATCCTTGCAGACGGCGAGTTATGGTGTTGACGGCCTATTCGCTTGGAATTCTCAGGGGCTGGCCCAGGAGGTGGCGCACTATTTGGGGCTGGAGTTGGGGACAATCAAGATAAAGAGGTTCGCGGATGGGGAGATCTACGTGCAGATCAAGGTACGCCGAGGTGCGAATGCTGTGTCCTGATGTGCAGGAAGCAGTAGACGGGAGGGTGGCGCGTAAGAGCTTGAAAAATTTGACGTAGCTGTTTCCTATCATACTTTGACGAAGACACCGACGTGATGGAACTAAGCTTGTCCGCTGAAATGTGGGACGGTAGGAGGGAGAAAAAATCCGTCAGATGATTTTCGCTGAGACCAAATGGCAAATTACAATGTCTCTGTGCAGCCAGAGGCTGGCCTCAGGCTTTGCCCCCCTCGCGGTGGGGTCAGGAACAGGTTCAGTATGCACAGGCCTATATAGGGTGTGAGAACACACAACGGCGTTCTGCAGCAGTTTCGAAGGTGCAGCAACCACAACACGGACTATTGTCTGCTCCCTGGGTACAGGAGTCAATTCGGGGGTGTGATGTATTCCTCATCCAACCCACAAGCCCCCCGGTCAATGACAACCTTATGGAGCTCCTGGTCATGATCGATGCCTGCCGGCGAGCATCGGCCCGCACAATCACACCAGTCATCCCTTACTACGGCTACGCTCGGGCAGATAGGAAGACCCAAGGGAGGGAGTCCATTGCTGCGAAGCTGACAGCCAACCTGCTGACAGAAGCTGGCGCAGATCGTGTTCTGGCGATGGACCTGCACTCAGGGCAGTGTGTCGGCTACTTTGACATCCCAGTGGACCACGTGTATGGCGATGTTGTGCTGCTTGACTACCTCGCTTCCAAGCGAATAGCCAATGGTAGGTCGCCCTGGTTGCCCAGTGTATGGTCTGGGGTTTTGTTTCACATTGGCCGCTGCATCACAAAGCACAACCCCTGCAAACTCGCGGATGAAATTCAGTTGATAACCGATGCTCAAAGACCAGGGCACAGAGCACCCTTGTACCTTGCAGGCCGTGCTGGGTGTACCTTTATTCTGTCTTTGATCTTTTGTCTTCCTGTGGTCATGATGACGTGCATGGCACAATTGCACAAGGTGGAAAGGTCAACAGTGCATCTGTAAGGCCATAACAGGGGCTGCTTCCCTTTCCCAGGTAGATATTCTGTTGGCATGGACTGTTATCCCAGTCAGACTATTGCTGTTTAGGCATGTTACACAGCGTCACAGCCATGGAGCTTGGTGTTGACAGAGAGAATGAAAGCCAACAGTGAAAGGACTTCTGGGCTTGTTGGGCAGTTTTCCTTCAACAGTTGTGTAATCGCTGAAGGCTGTCTCTGGAAGAACTACAAACTCATTGATATATACTCTTGCTTTGTTGGCTTCCAGCATGGGAGAATGTTCTGTAGATCCTCGTGCCAGTGTGACTATTCTCTCAAAACCGAGTGCTTGGGGTGGGGATGCTGCAACTCATACACCGTTGTTTGCCGCCTTCTGCACCAGGGGATCTGGTGGTGGTGTCCCCGGATGTGGGGGGCGTTGCACGTGCCCGGGCATTTGCCAAGAAGCTGAACGACGCCCCATTGGCCATTGTGGACAAGCGACGGTCGGCCCACAACATTTCCAACGTCATGAACCTCATCGGTGATGTCAAGGGCAAGGTGGCAGTGCTTGTTGACGACATGATAGACACAGCGGGCACTATCAGCAATGCTGCAAAGGCGCTCCAAGACCATGGGGCGAGCATAGTGTATGGATGTGCAACACATGCAGTGCTGAGCCCACCTGCTGTTGACAGGCTCTCCAG